AGTAAATTGCTAGTTCCCTAAGGACAGGGGGAAATGGGTAGTGACTGTTAATAAATATGGAATATGTATCTGGGAATATGAACTGTTAAAAATATAGATTGTGAAGTTAGGAGTGTATGTGCATGCCTATAATCCCAGCTACTTAGAAGGCTGAGGCAGGAGGATTGTGAGCTCAGGCCATCCTGGGCAACATAGTGAGACCCCCTCTCTTTTAAACCAGCAAATAACATAAAATATAGATTGTAGTGATGGCCGAACAACTTTGTGAATGTACTGAAAACTATTAATTTGTATACTTTAAACTGTTGAACTTTAGGTTGATAAAAAGAAGACACACAGCTTGTCAGAAGACAAAATACAAATATGAGAATTATATCTTAATAAAGCTGTTAAAGAAATCAAAACAAGGAAAGGAAGAAATGGAAAGAGAATAAAGACACAAAGGAAGAGATCAAAAGCTTCTTGAGGCTTGAGGGGTATTTTCATTAGATGTAAAATCTCTCCACAGCTCTTATTCCTCAAAGTTGTCCAAGTCACCATCCACTTCACCCTTCCTTTTCAGGTACTTAGGCAAATTCTCCAGCAGTTCCAAGTAATTCTTTCAAGAGTTCTTTCTGACTCAAGGAAGACTCTGGTTGATTTTCAAGCTTTGAAATTTATTTTTCAAATAAAAACTATTTGGACAGATTCAGTGACAGAAGGTATTCATTAGAAAAGATCTGTAAATAATACATTTGTTCAAATTTCAACTTTCAAAAGAAGCCTTACATCTTGTGAAGGTCAAAATTTGATGTTAAGTGACCAGAGGAAGAGAGATGATCATGACAAATGAAGCTTAATTGAAAACGTTAATAAAAAAAAAAAAAGAAAGAAAAGGAAGAAAGAAGTAGCACAGGCAGAAGTGTTGGTAACAAGCTGCTCTGACCCAGCTTGCTGTCTCCAGTGGTCTCCGTCATTCTTTTTGGTTCTTATCAGGTTCTAATTATCTCAATATTCTAAATTTCCCCCAAGAAATATTTTTCTCATGGGAAGTCAAGTAAATTTAAAGCTTTCAAGGGAAACACTCTCTTTGATTACTCTTTTTCAAATCTTTAGCAACTAAAATGTCAGTTAATCATATTTTAATTATGACATGAGTCAGCTTTCTAGTTATGAAACATTATGTCTTTCTTATTTACATTGTGTAAGGTTATAAAAACAGCACCCACTGTTGTCAGCCCATGAAATATAAGTGAAAAGCCAAATCTCATTTAATCTTTTACATACCTTTAGTATTGTGCCCACATCATCAACTTTATGAAAGTCTCATTGTGTCTGGTGGTGCAGTCAGAATGCTGATCATCATTATTACTAGGCCACTGTTATGAAAAATAACTCCACCCCCTACTGGTATTTACATGGTGAAAACGTTTTCCTAGTTATTTCCTCTTCCCAGGTCAATAAAGTAAAAACCTTCAACTTGATGATCCACCATCTTATTTCACATTTTACCATATTTATTATCTTTGCCAGAAACTCTTTCCCAATGGATGCTCCAATGTGTGTGCACCACAGAATGCCTGTTTCTGAGCCTGTGGTTCTCCTATAGGCTATGATTTCCCTCCTCCCTCAAGCTTGGAATCTCTTTTGTCTGTGGGAACACTCCCCGGGGACAAGCAGGGTTTGTGAGGCTCCTCATGTGGCCCCCAATCTTGTCAGAGTTTGTATGCAGTTTGCTACTCAGATGCCACAGTTCTGGGCACCAGCCTTCACCTCAGGTACATTCGTGAGCCCGATGACCACCATTCAGCACACTCTTCCCACCAGCTAACTCCACTGCATCTGTGTGCAGACGCCTTGGTATCACTCTCAGCTGCTTTTGAAAAATCAGACTGCCTGAAAATAATAATACTAAAACAACCAAAACTCTAAAGTCTTTACCACTTCAGTTATTGGTGTAAGTGCTCTTACACTTAAACCATTAATTCATTTAGTCTTAGTTATGATCCCACAAGAGGATGTTATTGCTCCCATTTTACTGAAGAAGAAGCCAAGGCACAGGGAAGATGAATGCCGGCCAACAGTGAGGGAACCGGGATGAGAATTCAGATGGGATCACTGCAGAAATTTACACTGAGTTCAATCCCTGGTACCAAAAAAAAAAAGGAAAGAAAGAGCAACTTACGATTTCAGTGACAGTAGGAGGATTAGCAGAAGAATGCTTTTCAAAAATGCTTTGACTCCATGGAAAATTTTCCACCCAGACTTGATGAGTGGGTAACTCGTCCCTGCTCACCTGTCTGGTGGGATGAATACTGTGAGGACTGGTCAGTTACGGTTTTCTTTTGTTTGCACAATAGATTTCTACAAGGCTGGATTTTCCTGCACTACAATGACCCCGTTTAGTCCTCATACTGAGAAAATCTTCCCTAAATTAAATTCTCTGAATTGTAAGGATTGGGGAAGGGGAAATTCAAGAAGTAAAGAGAGAACTGTCCCATAGCAAATTTAAGAATAAAACTTGTAATTTTATTTTGACACCAGGTAAATAATCTTGTTTCTCCTCTTGCATGAACAAAGAAACTCAATTCAAGCAAAATTCTGATTTTGTGTTGCAAACAGTTTACAGCAGTTTCCTACTTTATGATACATTCTTTATTTTGTAGACAAACATTTCCCAAGTACCCAGAGGCACAAGCTTTCACTTGTCTACAACTGGCATGGAAATTAGTCACTGTTTAAATTAAAATTAAGTTAGAACTAAAAGAAACAGGGGGAGAAATATTTTATTTAAAGAAAAGTAATCTAGGGATAAGTATTTTGGAGTGTATCTGCATGGTTAAGGAAATAAACTAAAAGAATTTCTGACTTGTGACACTACATAACAATGTAAGTCAGTCCCAGTGATGTTTCTGGTGTGAAAAATGCAATAATTCAATAGCTAATCATATTTTTTTGCAGATGAGGATTTTTTTGGAAAACAAGTTGGCTTTTTGAATTGTTTTCTGTATCTGATTTGGAGAAAGATATTGAGAAAACACATCCAGCCTTATTTAAAACTTTGAGTATAGTTTAAATTTGGGCATGATTTCACAATGGCATGTAACTCTATATTATAGCAGTTACTTTATGTGTCTCTAGATATACATTCCTGAAAATAGGAGGCTATGAATTAATCATTTTTATCTCTAGCAGATACTTGATTGACATTTGCTCAGTAAATGTCACTGAATGAGTTCATGATTGCCATAGTCTTCTAGTAATAAAGGACAGGAGTATGTTATCAGCCCCTGCCTCTGCCTAGCTCTTCTAAAGATACTTCCAGTGTTTGCAGATTGTAATGCTCTTCTCCTGCCACTGAACAAGTAGTAGCAAGTTGGAGTGACTGTGTCTTTCCAGAAATTCAACTGAACTCAAACTGGTGCTACCTGAAAAGTTGATGGTTCTGGGGTAGGAAAATGCCTCTAGATTCTTCTTTGCCCAGACCCAAGGATACCAGGGCATCCTCAGTCCTACCAGATCATTGCTCCCCACAAGGGTAATTCAACTGATCTCTTCAATTGAAGAACCCACTTTACACTTCTCTGCCAGGTACCAATCCCAGCAAAAGTGAATTCCTTCTAGTTCCTAATTTGGACAGAACTTTGGTGTGAGAAGTGACCAGAACCTTGAACTCTCTGAACAATTTTCCTGTCCAGATCCCCTATGAATGAGATTTCTCTGGAAGATCCATGTCAGCACTCTCCGAGTCTGTCTCAACTCTATAATTGTTCATTCACATTTTGCATTTAGACTGTGGGTCCCAACACTGAGAATGAACAGAACATTGTTGTGTTACCCTGTTACCACAAATGTTTCCCATTTGTCAGTTATTTGCATACTACTTCCATGCTTTTTACCATATTTGCATTCCACTGTTACCTGTATTGCCTTAGTATTTTTCTTAAAATTGATCTTCTATTTACTCAAACAAATATAGTCTTATCTTGTGAAATAACATTTGTAAAAATCATAGTCTTGAAATATTGTAACCCTATGTAATAGATACTCATTATATCATACCAGAGTTACTGGGTTCAAAGTCCTGAGTCATCACTATTTGTTTCTTCATTAGACTGCCTTTTCCTAGTTGTGCTAATTATTTTTACTTATCTTCTATTTTATTTTCTTAACTCTGCCCTATTTTACATGTTTTTCACATCATTATAGATTACACGTTCTATAAATGGGAGTTACAGGTTTAAATATAAAGGTGGGGAAAAATCTCCAGCAGCACAAGAACTATTTCTAGTTCCAGTTCTCTCAATTCTTAACTTTGAGGTTTTGATAATCTAATCTCTGAACCTCTGTTTGTTCATGTTAGAATGATAAAAATGATTAAAAAGTTACTTTCTAGGTTTATTGTAATCTGAAGCACATGAATATATATCAGTTTGTTTACAAAAACATTTTTTCAGAACACCTAGTATTATGGACGAGAAAACATGAAATAGTAGTCAACTGAAAACATAAAATTGAATGCCAATTTGATTTTTGATTGTTTTTTCAATATTCTATAGAAAGCATGTTAAAATATGTGGTACCTTAACACTTTTGTTTGCAAACAACTTGGTTCACAAACAGCAGCATTTGCCAAAGTTTTGTTTTTCTTTGCAAACTTTGCATTGGGTAACAACAGGACCACAGCCATCTTTCCCACACAAACACAAATGTGTCCATATTTTCCAGAATCTTGGAACAAATTAAGTTTGTGAACCAAAGCAACACTGTATTACCAAATGAAATATGAGCTAAGAATTCCAGAAAAAAAATTCTACACCAAGGAGATTAGTCAATCTTCAAGTCCTATTTGTTTTTTGTTGTTGTTGTTGTTGTTGTTTGTTTTTTATTTTGTTTTTGGTACCGGGTATCGAACTCAGAACCTTGTGCTTGCAAGGCAGGCACAGTGCTGCTGAGCTAAATCCCCGGCAAGTCCGTCCTATTTGTTTTTAATATGTATCTCTCTCTCTGTCTCTCAAAAGGCCAGGTATCCTGGAGAGAAGAACACTTTCACTGAAACCATGGATGATTGTCCTAATTACTACAGCCATTGTATTGGCTCTGGCAATAATTATTGGTCCCCTTGTTTATTTTTTAGAATATGGTAAGTATGTATCTCACTGTATTACTTTATAAATTTGAAGACAAAAATAATTTATTTCAAAGCCTTAATATTTTCTAATATTTTAGAATGAAGTTTTCCTTTGAATAAATTTGCATATATTTGAGAAATAAACCTTTATCCAAAAGTATTATTTCTAGTATTGAAAATTTGGAATGGTTAATATAATATTTCTTTAAAAATAAAGTAAATTAACATGCTGTATTACTTATGATGTAATAATATTCAATAAGCTAAGGGCAAAAATTGTTTTAATAGAAATTCTAACTTTGAAGTAAACTTATGAAAATGTTAATACTTAGTGTGTTTAGCATTGCTATAGCCAAATACTCAAAGCTGGATGTTCATAAAGAAAACGAGCTTAACTTGGCCCAGATTCTGGAAGGTATCCTGGATGACTGCACAGTGAGGGTCCCGTGCATCATGGCAGGGAGGACAGTGTGATGACAGGAGTGGATGTGAGAGGTGAGGTGCCTGCGGAAGGGACGACAAGGCATGAGAAGGAGCAAGAGACCAGGGAAGGGCATGCTGCTTCATAACTTTCACAGAGCTAACCCGCACCTGTAGACCAGATTAATCTCCTCACAGGGCCAGTCAGATGACTGGGGCTAGGACCCAGTCATCTCCCATTGGGCCCCATCACTTTTAACACCATTATGCTGGGAGCCAAGCTTCCAGCACACCAAACTTTAGGGGACTGAGCATATCCATTCGTAACAATAATATTCCTCAATCCCTCTGCTTCTTGTGTTTATACAACTCAGATGAACTAAACAGAAGTCACCCTTTTCTGTTCTTCCTTCCAGATCAGACAACTCAATATTACCAGGCCTCCTTCCAGATTCCCAGTATTGACTACAATCCAGACTTTTCGGTAGAACACTCAAAAATTAAGACTGACCTGAAACAAAAAATCAATAATGAGGTAAGTGTGAGCTTTGTTGGTATTATTAATACTCAGGAAAAAAAATGGCAGAAATTTTTGTTACAGGAGGCAGTATATTGAATTACAGATAAGTCAACGTTTGGAGTCAGAAACCTCTATTTTCCAATTTTGTGAATAATAAGAGGTAAATTGAGAGCAAGTGAATTACGTCTATCATATGGTTGCCAGATAGAATATATAATGCCCATTAACATTGTAACTTCAAATTCTTCTGAAAATATCTTCATGAAGCATTTGAAGCATACTTGTATTAAAAAAATCATTCATTGTTTATCTGAAATTCAAATTTACTTTGTTTTTATTTGCTCTGTCTGGCAAGTCTGTTCAATGTTATTTCAAGAAGTCTACAAAAATACATTATATAAAAGATCGCATACTAGACTAAAAAAACACAAGCCCCAAAGAAAAATACATAGTTCAATAACAAAATGAATCCTTCAAGTTATCCAGAAATAACTCAATCATTTAGGCACAAGAAATATTACCACATACTGTTGAATAAGAACATACTTGTAGACAACCCTGACACATTTCCCACCAGGTAACTAATGCCAAACATCCACTTCTGAAAAATATACCACAGGAACCTACAGACCAGCTCTTCCACTGCAGACTTCAGTTGTGCCCAGAGCCTCTGGTGAGCCCATGCTGACCAGTTAAAGATGGCAGAACATTCTAACCAGGTTTAAAATTATTTCCTTAGTCATTTCATAATCAGAAGCAGAAGCTGTTAACATGAGTTGCAGAATGCAATTGAGTGAGGTGGGCATGTCTTTCCAGCAACTTATCCACAGGAAACTTTGATTTGAAAAGGGAAGGACAGAGTATGGGTTGTTATTACAGGAAGCAATTTATTGAACTGGAGACAAACTATCATTTGGAGTTCCAAACATCTAGATTCTTATTCCTGTTTATCTTTGTCACCTGAACAACAGGAAAAAATGATTTGACTTATCAAATTCTCAACTACAAAGTAGGGATAATTTCACTCACCTCTCACAGATGGTTGAGGATTAATAGATGTAATGAGTTAAAGTGTGAAAAGGAATGTCTGAGTAAATGCTTCCATCTGTTTCCAGTGCTCTCCCAAAACTTTCACACTCCTCTGCCAATGCATTTAACACCGTATAACATTATTATTGTATATACCTGTGTCTGCTCCAGCTTGTAAATTCACTTATGCCAAGCAATGATGGCAAATCTTTGATGGCTAAGTTTACTTATATTTCTGATGCCTCTCACAGGGTCATTAGAAGGTAGGACCATGAAAATACTCAGCAAGTGTATGACTAGAAAAGAAACAAGCAATTCATTCGTGTAGGTCCTGCCCTACACTACTAGTGTAGGAAGTACAGTAATTTAGATCAGAAGTCAGAGAACTGTAAAATATAAGATACTAAATATTCCCAACTTTGTAAGTCATATAGTCCCTGTGCAACTACTCAAAGCCTCCATGGCTCTCTAGACAGTGGATTAGAATTGCTTTTAATGCTTTTCATGATACTTTTGTATAGTGATTGCATTCAAAAATTTTTACCATGCATACATATTAGCTTTGTTGTATAAATGACATATAGGTATATAAAACTGTTTCCTTAAAAATTTTCCTTTCTAATCAGTTACAAGGAAAACATGACCTTTTTTCAACAACTATTCCTATCTCTATAAACTTCTCACCAACTGATCAATGGCTCCACATGATGTTTCACTGACGAAAATTTCATAAATTAACCTAGATGAGTGAAAAGCTGTTAACATGCACCATGTTTTACTCTTTGGCATTTCTTCTCCACTAATTTGTGGAATTACCTATTCAGACTGAGGTTCACTTGAGGTTTGACAGATGATGAATAATTGTCAATAAACAGGCTTATAAAACTACAGATTCTGTAACACGACGCAGTTTTATAAAGGAATGATTTGATCTAGGAATTTTCACCACAGAGGTATTATCCAGTATAGGAAGTCTGAAAACACAGTGATGATTACTTCTAAGGAACTATCTATTGTATTTCTCTTGGTAAGTTAATGGTTTAAGAGAGGTGTCCAATACATACATGTTCTCCTCCTTTCCTACATTTACCACAGAAACAAAATGACCTAAAATTTTTTAAAAGTTTGAAGCACCAATTTTTTGATCACATCACATAAGACTGATGACTGAGTTGGAAAGGCCTTTGGAAATTAGTCCATACATCAACTTCCAAAGACACTCAAATCTCTATCCTTCCAACCTCTAAATTGTATGATAGATGGTGGAACACTTAGCTTAATTCCACTAGGTGTCAGACATCTGTGAACACACACCAAATTGTTCAAATATCAATATCAATTATGGGGATGGTTTTATGATAACAGGATATTGCTTAAAGGATCTTTTTGAAGCTAACTGTAAATGATGTTTGTATTCAATAGGCTTTAAGCATTGTGATACATTAAAATGTGTAAAAATCATATTTAACAAAGTTGTGTTTGTTTTTTCTTTTCTCAGATAGATAAGATATTTCAAAGATCCAGTCTACACAATAATTACATCAAGTCTCATGTTGGCAACTTCAGGTAATCATAACTGATTAATTTGTATGATTAAAAACAACTGAATTATTTAGTTACTTTTCCAATAATTTCTTTGTGAACAGAACCTAAGGTTTCAGATATAGCAAGAGAAAAAGCTGGTGTGATGTTATTACATTGTTATTCCTCCTGTATGAGGTATTTATAGTGGGTGAACTTTTTTTTTTTTTTTGGTACCAGGGATCGAACTTGAGTCCTTGCGCTTGCAAGGCAAGCGATGGAACCACTGAGCTAAATCCCTGGCCCAAACTTCTTAAGTAATAATGAAATATATCTCATTGGTTGTCTATTTAAAGACTTTTGCATTTCAATTAAAGATTCTAAAGTCATTATGTCTCAATTTTACTTAATTTATTTCCCAATTTATTAACAGCTATATAATTCAATAATTTATATTAACATATATGAAATACATAAAGTTAGTGAATTTAACACTTTTGATTAATTTCCAGAAAAAACTAATTCTAGAGCTGTCAGACACTCATTCTCCCCTCTCTGAAATGACCAGGTTTTCCAAGCAAGGCATAATCCAGGTTTTCAAACCTGTGTGGTTAAAATAATTAAGTGGTGATATGTAGGTGTACCAATTCTCCAAGATGAATGTGATTATTATCTGTTGCAAACATATACCAATAAAAGAAAACCCACACGAAAAAAGAAATGAAGATTCTCAGGCCTTGCTCCAGAGTCACCAAAACTGAGCATGGAATCCAGATAGCTGTATTTTAACAAATCCTCCAGGTGACTTTAATGTTCGTTAAAGTAATATGAACAAATACATGAATAAATAAACCTGTATGATACATGAGAAATCACAACAAAATTATAGAATATTTTATGCTATGTTTTCTTGAACATATATCTAATAATTAAGTATTATTGTATAGCATATTAATTTCTGTGGCTATAACCTCACTTATTCCATTCCCCTTGTTTTACAGGCCAAATAATCATGGTTTGAAAGCAGACATACTGCTTAGATTTAAGTTTACTTCTAACAGTGCAAACACTATAAAGAGACAAGCTGATAAGATTGTGCATAAGAATTTGAAATCCAACGATAGCTTCTTGAAGATAGATACTTCCTTACCTTATCTTAGAGGCAAGAAATACTAATTTTCTCTTCTATTTTTATACATAATGATATTCAGTAATCTTCTCATCTACAGAGATTCTTTTTTTTCACTTAAATTCTTTTATTGGTACATTTTTTTATACAATACATTTACATTCATCATTGGGAACTTGTACCTTTACATGATGCATCTTAGTTCTTATTTTTCCCCATTCCCCTGCCCTCCCTTCAACCCCTTCACTCCTCCCTATTTGAAAAGGCTTTGTTTCCATTTATTTCTTATCTCATATTTTTTCCTTTCCCTTCTTTCCTTTCCCCTAACCCTCCCACTTCCCCTAACCCTTTGGACATTTTCTTCCCGTTTCACATTATCAATTATTCATTTTAATCCTTATTTATATTTTCACTTTCTCGCAACAGAGAACTATTAAGTATTTACACATGTATGTCCTATTTATTTCACTTAAGAGTATCATCTCAATGTGCATCCATTTAGCTATAAATGCCTCTAGTTTCTCATTCTTTATGGCTGAGTAGTACTCCATTTTATTTTTAAAAACCCACATTTTCTTTATCCAGTCTCCAGTGGATGGGCACATGGGCTGTTTTCAAGCTTTAGCTATTACAAACTGTGCTGCTATACACATGGGTGTGCATATTATAGCTAAGTGGATGCACATTGAGGCGATACTCCTAAGTGAAATAAATAGGACACACGTGTAAATACCAAATAGTTCCTCTGGTGTGAAAAACTAAAAGTGTAAATAAGGATCAAAATGTATAATTGATATTGTGAAATAGGAAGAAAAGGTCTAAAGTAGAAGTGGAAGTGGGAGGGTAGGGAAAAGGAAAGAAGGGAAAAGAAAAAATATGAGGAAAGAAAAAAATGGAAACAAAGTCTTTGTAAATAGGGAAGGGTGGAGAGGGTGAAGGGAGGGCAGGGGAATGGGGAAAAAATAAGAACCAGATATGTCATGTAAAGGAACAAGATCCCAATGATGAATGTAACTGTATTGTATAGCTAAAATGTACCAATAAAGTTAATGGAAAAAAAGAAAACTGTGAGTAAGCATATATTGCTGTGGCATGATTCTTTTAATTCGTTTGGGAAGATACCCAACAGAGGAATAGCTGGGTCAAATAGGACTTTTAGTCCTAGTTCTTTGAGGTATCTCCATACTGATTTACACAGTGATTGCACCAGTCTGCACTCCCACCAACAATGGAGAAAGCTTCTTTTCTCTCCACAACTCTGCCGGCATTTATTATTGGTTGATTTCTTGATAGTAGCCATTCTTTCTGGGGTAAGATGGAATCTCAGTGTTGCTTTCATCTGCATCTCTTCAATGACCAGTAATATTGAACATTTTTTCATATGTTTACTTGCTGCTTTTACTTCTTTGTCTGAGAAATGTCTGTTCATTTCAGATGCCCATTTTTGAATTGGGTCTTTAAATTTGGGGGGTCTGACTTTTTAAGTTCTTTATATATTCTAGATAGTAGTCCTTTGTTTGAGGTACAGCTGATAAAAATTTTTCCCACTTTGTCTCTTAACTCTGTTGGTGGTTTCTCTTGCAGTGCAAAAGAAGATGAGATCACAGTTATTGATGCTTTGTGCTAGTTCCTGTGCTACTGAGGTTTTGTTCATAAAGTCTTTTCCTATGCCAATGTCTTTGAGAGTTCTACATAATTCATCTTCCAGAAAGTTTAATGTTTGTGTTTGAATATTTAGGTCTTTAATCCACTTCAATTTTAGTTTAGTGTATGGTGATAGATATGGGTCTTGTTTTAATCTTTGGCAGGTTGAAATCCAGTTTTTCCAACACCATTTATTAAATAGGCTATCTTTCCTCCAGTGAGGATGGTTGGCTCTTTTGTCAAAGATGAGGTGGCTGAGTATGTCTGCAGTTGTTTCTGCATCTTCTAATCTATTCCACTGATCCTTGAGTCTGTTTCTTTGCCAGTACCATGCTGTTTTTTATCACAGTGGCTTTGTAGTATAGTTTCAAGTTGGGGATTGTGATACCCCCTGCCATGTCTCTGTTGCCTAGAATGGCTTTTGCTATTCCAGGTCTCTTCTGGTTCCAAATGAGTTTTTGGATTGTTTTATCTAGTTCTGTGAAATATGCTGTTGGGATTTCAATCAGGATTACCTTGAATCTATATAGCAGTTTTGGAAGTATGGCCATTTTCACTATATTGTTTCTTCCTACCCAAGAACAAGGGATATCTTTCCATTTTCTTATATCCTCTTTGATCTCTTTTTTCAGAGTGCTGTAGTTTTCAATGTAGAGGTCTTTTGCCTCCTTTGTTAGATCAATTCCTAGGTATTTCATTCTTTTGTATGCTATTGTGAAAGGAATTGTTCTCTAATTTATTTCACAGTGATTCTGTTATTTGTGTACAAGAAGGCTATTGATTTTTGAGTGTTGACCTTGTATCCAGCTGCTCTACTGAATCTGCCAATTAAGTCTAGAAGTCTTTTGGCAGAGTTTCTTGGGTCTTCTATGTAGAGTAACATATGGTCAGCAAATAATGACAGTTTAACTTCTTCCTTTCCTATCTTTATTCTTTTTATTTCTTCAGAGAAAGATTCTTTATTGCACCATAAAATAAAACTTTTAATTTAAAGTATCGCAATTATTTGATAATAAATAAATCCCCACACAATACCAAAGACTGTCTTTCTTTGGCTAGTACTGAAGTTATTATAAAAGAATTGTATGCTTACTCAAATGTAGTAGTATCTATTCCCTTTAAAAAAAAGTCTTAGTGTAATAGTTTGAACTGAGTAAGTCTGCCTGAGATAAATGCCTACACTCTGCTCCTGACACAATAATTGTAAAGGTTGGCTCTTTCTTTTGCAGTATAATTTATTTGGTTGTGTAAAGAAATTTAGGAAGTAAAAGACCATCTATTATGTTTATTTCTATTTTAACCCATTATTTATCTTTCTTTTCTGAATGATTCAGTCTCCTTCAGTTATCATCTGCTTTTTGTTTGGAGTGCTACATTTAGCCATTAAGAATGTATATGTTGGGCCAGGGATTATTTACCTCAGTGGTTTTGCCCCCTGCTGCTCAAGCGCAAGGATCCAAGTTCGATCCCAGGTACCAAAAAAAAAAAAAGAATGTATATGTTAAAACAAATTCCTTCAGTTTTCCTTTTGTCACCAGGAAGATGGATCCTGATACTGCAAGGAACCAGCCCTGGTTGCTCAGTCCTTTGTGTCTTGAGTGAAGAGTTTAGCCATGATACATGTGTGGAAGTATAGGCAGAGTTTAGAGAGTTATACCTCCAGATGAGGAGGCACGCAGCTCCAGGAAGGAATCTTACACTGTGTGCAACTTTTTCACATGCAGGATTTAGCCCTGGGCCTCAGGGGAGTACTGTGACGATCACTGTATATCTACATGAAGTGTATGCTTATCAACACTTTCCTTAGAGGTTGCTTTGGAATTCCAAAATGTTACCTTGCTCTTTTCAGATGGTCAGTGCTCACTTCGGGGCCTTAACCTTGTAAGAAACTTACAAATGAAATTTAGGAAAGAGAAAAGTCTAATCTAAATCAGGTCTCAGCCCAAGGCAGAAGTCTTTATGGAAGGTTTCCTTTCCTGATATCATTAGGCTGTAGCCCACAGGCACGAGGCATGCTGTGTACCTTGCAGAAATGGACAGCTCCATATAGTAATGAACATACACAGTGTCATGAACATGCACAATGACTTTAACATGTCTGGGTGCTCCGTGGGGTTGTTTTGGCTCTCAGACCTAACAAAGGAGTATAAATATATCATACATGGAGGTCTGTATCTTCATTTACCTGTAGTGGGCAAAGTATGCTGTTTTGGAACTCTTTGTCCTTCGGGTCTGTTAATGTCTAAGTACCCACCTAACGTTTTCATCTAAGAATATATATATTTTTTCTCTCTATTCCTCAATGATATTTTCACTTGGCATGAGATTCTGAGCTGATTGTTCTTTCTTTCAGAACTTGAAACAGTCTATGTCATTTCCTTTTGGCTTCTATAGTTTCAGATGAAAAACTAATGTCTTTAAAGTAGTGTTCCTTCATAGATAATGTATCATTTTCTTTGTTTTTGAAGATTCTTTTTCTTGTCTTTAGTTGTGGTGGGTCTTGATGTGGACCTCTTTTAGTTTATTCCATCTGGGGTTTTCTCAGCTACTTCTTTTTTTTTTTTTTTTGGTACTGGAAATCGAACTCAGGACCTTGTGCTTTCAAGGCAGGTGAGGTGCCACTAAGCTAAATCCTTGGCCCTTTCTCAGCTTCTTGAATGTGTAGATCTCTGTCTTTCACCAACTTTGACAAAATTTTAATCATAAAATTTTAACTCCTTTTTTAGTACCACACTTTTTAGTCTACTTTTAGAAACTTGATGATATGTTAGATATTTTGTTAGTATAGATCCCAGAAGCTTTGTTGATTTTATTTTTAAGTCTATTTTGCTCTGTTTTTCAGACTGAGTCAATTCTACTGAATTGACTTTGAGTTCAATGTTTCTATTCTCTATTAGCTTCACTATGGTATACTATTGGTACCACCAAACATGTTGGTTTGTTATTATTATTATTATTATTATCATTTCAGTTATTATATCTTCTGGTTCTATAATTTTCCATGGTTCTTTTTTTATTACTTCTATTGCTTTGCTGATATTTTGTATTTTTTCATTTGTTTCAAGAGTAATTACACTTTATTTCTAAATTATTTTTATGGAAGCTCTTTAGGTCCATGTGAGGTACTTCCAGTCTTTTATTTATCTCAAAATTAGTATTTGTTGGTTCTTTTCTCATTCAAATTTTGGTTTTCCTGGGTTTGGGATTTTTGTGTGTGTGGTAAGTAATTTTTGTTTGTATTCTGGACATTTTGCTTATTATGTTAGAGAGCTCTTGATCCTATTTAATTCTTCGATTTAGCAGGTAGTCCACCTGCTTGGGTTTGGAGTGCAGATTCTTACCTACTTTTGCTGTCAACGACAGGTTTTCAGACCCTTGGAGTGCTGTTCTGGTTTGCTGGTGCTGCCCCTCAGCTCCTTCTGCCAGTTGTGTACGTGGGAGTATGTTGTTTCTCTGTACTGCTTTGTCTCAGTGGGCTACAGGGTAGATCCAGGTATCTGCTGGTTGTGTCTCTGTTAGTGTTTCTGGGTGCCAGACAGTGGTGGTTGTAATATGAAGAATGGGGAGCCCAAGAGCTTCTTGTTGTCACTGGTTCTAGAAGAGTGGATTGCCAGGCTTTGATTCTCAGATAGGAGTTTGAGCCTCCTACTTGGCCTGTATTGTCCTTCACTTTTCCCAGTACTTTGCATAGACAGGGCAGGCTTCTCTTCAGATTATTTTACCTTTGCTTATTGATAGTTATAGATTTCAGGCAATTTTGGTTCCCATACAGGTTTTGTGTGAAATAAAAACAAAGCCCCCAAACTATCACTTGTTCTTCCTCAAATTCTGAAATGTTTTGTCATTTCATCTTTCCTGCTTTCAGAGTTCTTTTACTGCTATCTGATAATAATTTTCAGAGTACAGTCATCCCTTGGTATCAAATACCATATATAAAATGGTGTAACATTTGTGTATAATGTACATACATCTTCCCATATGTTTTAAATCATCTCTGGATTATATATAGTACTTAACACAATATAAATGTTGTATACTCATAAATATTTGTTATATTGAGTTGTTTGAAAATAATGACAGAAAATCCACATGATGTCAGATGAATTTTTTTCAAATACTTTCAATACCCAGTTTGAATCTACAGAAGAATCAACAAATACTGAGCACTAATATAATTATTATCACAGAAATAATAAGCACTAAGTATTTGATTACCTGACACATAAGATGCAGTAAATTATTAATTAACATTGCTGTTCATTTATTCAATCAGCAAGTATGTGTTCAAAATCTATTTGAGTCAGGAAGTGAAATATTAGCTTCATAGAGCTAATATTTTAATTGGAGTAAGAAAGATAATGATATAACTAAATAAGATAATATCAAATAGTATGATCTCCATGCAGAGAACAGAGTAGGAGACTGCTTAAATTTGGTTGTCATGGAAAGTCTTATGAGGAAAAGAGTTTTAAGCTGAGAACTGAATGATAAGGGGCAACCAACCATAAAAAGGCCAAGGGAAAAGCATCACTGCAAAAGAGGGCAGCTGCAACAGAGACTGAAGGCAGAAACACCACAGCACAGACAGGAAACTGGAAGACCGAGGGGGCAGTGAGTAAAGGTTATGAGCAAGAGCAGTCCAGCCTGACATCACAGAGGTCAGGTTGACCTCACAGTGACAAGGTTGCCAGACCTGATTTTTGCCTCAATAAAGACCATGTCACATAGGTCTTGATGAGAAGTCTGGGTTTATTCTAAATGCCAGAAGCCATTAGAGGGTTGTTATTATTGGCAAAACCTAATCCAAAGGGATAAAACACCCTGAACATAGTTCCTTTCATATGAGCTCAATATTCTACTTACTGGCACAAAGGTAATTCAACTAATTTGGGGGAATAGCCACATATTATGCCTTCCTCTGTTTGAAAAACATGACTCACAGGGTGACACGTTTGAGGGCTTATCATTATACTGGTGGATTTGACTCCAACAGGAAGCATTTATGGAGCAAACCCAGATGCCAGATTTCTGGGATGCTTTGAATGTTGTAACCACACTGCTGTGCAAATGAGAACAAAGGAAAAGGTCTCCAGACATAATAGAGACCTGTAAAACTGGTGTTCTTGTCTAACTTGTATTTTAATAAATTGTTATGGCATTGATATTTTGTCCCTTCAGGGCAAAAATATTCTTCTCTATGCCAATGATTTTATAGTCACATACCAGATCTTCCAGGGTTGCACATACACTCAGAAGAATTTAATTTAGCTGGGATCAGTGGCACCCACCTGTGATCCCAGCACTCTGAGAGGCTGAGCTGGAAGTTCACAAGTTTGAGCCCAGTCTGGGGCATTTAGTAACTTAGTAAGACCCTGTCTCAGAATAAAAATTAAGGAAAAAGGATGGGAATGTAGCACAAAGGCCTTGGGTTCAGTCCCAGGTATGACACACACACACACGCACACACACACACACACACATACGCACACACATACACGGAGTTAATTTACATATAGGCCTCTCTTTTTAATAGAATTTTATTCTATTGATTTTACATTAGAATTTTCTAATGCAGTTCTTTCCAGTCAGAAAAATTCATGTCATGAAAGGAAAGAGGAAAAGGAAAAATTATGAGAAAAGAAAAAAAATGGAAATGAAGTCTATGTAAACAAGGAAGGGTGGAGGGGGTGAAGGGTGCACAGATAATGGGGGAAAAAATAAGAACCAAGATACATCATGTACAGGTACAAGCACCCAATGATAAATGTAAACGTATTGTATACCTAAAATGTACCAATAAAAGAATTTAAGGAAAAAAAATTCATGTCATGGAGGCATAGTGTTTTAAATATAAATGGTCCCATTGTGAAGCACTGATTTTGGTTTTGCTTTTCCAGAAGTAAATGGAGCACAAGCAGAGCATGTTCTGAACAGCTGTAAGTTCAAGAATGTTACGGAGATGTTTATAAATCAAGAAGGAAACTTCAACACTTTTAGCGTTTCTCTACTCCTGTGTTTACTATTTCTCAAGTGTATATAATAAGTCTAAGTGGACATATGATTTAATTCTTCCTAGTGGAAAAAAATGCTACCACAAGTTGGGAATGTTTACACAGAATGCTTGAGAGTATATTCTTTCAACAATTTCCTTGTGTTTTATTAAATTTATCTGTATTTGGCTCACTATGTTAAACTAGAAAATTTTGTGTAGAAATTAAATGATATCCACTAACTGTAATATAGAACTTTCATATGGAAACTTATGTTATAATAGTGTAATGAATTGTAAAATATTTCAAAAGAGTAGAAATGTGACTTTTCTGCAGTAAATAGTATGCACCTAGCACTTAAAACTGTCAAATGTCACTGAGATAAATTACTGCACATAAGAATATAACCCCAAAAGCAGGACAAAAGCAAATTTTAAAGGGAACTTGCTTCAAATACCCCAAAGAAGGTGTTAAATAGTTTTAATATTAATTGTTTAAAATTAATAATATGGAATGGAATAATCATACCTCATCAGTGCAAATAATCATTACTCCATTATATGTGATATTAATTGCAATGAATTTTTAAGGCCAGGCCATATCCATAAAAGTTTACATCCATAACTAAATGTCAAATATACTTGAGCATGTTTATAACTCTGTAAGTAACCATCGTATTCCTTTCTGACAGGTTGTGGTTTAGGGATGGAGTACCCACCCGTGGAAAGAGTTGCTCATGGCCAGATTGCAAATAAAGCTGCATGGCCATGGCAAGCCAGCCTGCAGATGGACGGCATGCACTTCTGTGGGGCCTCTCTGATCAGTGCGGACTGGCTCCTCACTGCTGCACACTGTTTTGACACGTTAGTCCCAGGCTACACCCACCCACCACTGCCCTCGCCACTCTCTTACCTTCATAGCCAAGGATTCTGCTCGCTTTCTCATTTCTTTTGTGAACCTCTAAGCCCTAGCAATAGCACACATAATTGTTTACAGGCTTATGGAAATAGCAACAATTACTGGAGAACCTTAGAAAAAATCTAGCCTGTCTTCAGCTCTGTTTGAAAATGTGTTTTCCAGCAATCTCAATTTTAACTAGGAACAAGCCTACATTGACAAAACTTTACAAAAATTCACCAGATCTCCTGAGATACACTGGAGGTTTTTCAAAATTCTGCTAATGGCATCCAGACCTCCTATATATATATATATATATATATATATATATACACACACACACACACAAACATATATATATTTATCCCACATGAATATCTTTGGTGCTATACTTTTATTCTGTTTGTTTTACTTGAAGATTTGACATATGGGGTACATGGAAATAATAAAGAGATACAGTAACCCTTGTGAAATTCATACAAAATAAAATATTCTGAATAAAATTTCAATAAAAGAAAGCATAAAAACTATGTAAAATACAGCTCTAATTTTATCTTTCTCTGTTTCTGTCTGTTTTTCTTTATTTCTCCCTCTTTTTTTTCTGCATAGCTACACATACATTTATATAATTTGAGCATGGATATCAATGTATATATGTACCTATATGAGCATACATAAACATGTCTGATATTTATATTTTCTTCAATTATTCTCTATTATTTTTATAACAAAATGATGATGGTATATTTCCTTTAAAATTACAATTTCTCCAAAAGACTAATATATGCTATCTTACAATAGAGATTTGTTATTAATTAGTCTGAAGCAAAGCTATCCTTGGGAAAAGGTTTCAAATAAAAGTTTAAGGAGGTTTCCTTCAATATTATGTTTAAAAATTTGTCCTTTTATACATATGCCACATGCCTGTTCAAAATTCTAGGCAACTTTAGATCAGAAGGAAACCCACTGTGTTCCTTTTCATCTGTTATCAGTCACAAAAACCCTAAACTATGGATGGCCAGCTTTGGAACAACCCTGCGCTCTCCACTGATGAGAAGAAAGGTCCTGTCCATTATTGTCCATGAAAATTATGCTGCCCACAAGCACGAGGATGACATTGCCGTAGTGAAGCTCTCCACCCCTGTGCTGTTCTCTGAAAACGTGCACAGAGTCTGCCTCCCAGGTGCTACTTTTGAAGTCTTGCCAGAGAGTAAAGTGTTTGTCACTGGATGGGGAGGACTAAAAGCAAATGGTACGTATCTCGGTTAAAACAATGAATCAAAAACTTTTTTAAAAAGAATTTTAAAAAACTATCCTCTTTTAGAGTGGAGATGTGAAATAAAATACAAAACCAAGATGTGTAACTAGGCACATCTTCTTTCAGTTGCTCTTTTTCATATGTAGAGATTCTGCTGAGCTGCCTGATTCATAAGATTTATGCTTTGCAAGCTTCAGGAAGGATGCACTTCTGGAATGGGTCATACAACTGAACAAATAGTCTCAAGCAAGGAATCTGAATGACTGTTCCTTATTTGGCACTAATATTAAGCAGGACCCCATAGATCCATATACCTATGAATCTGTTCTTGAGCCTGAGACCCTAACAAAAGTTGACAAGTATGGCACTTGATATACTTAATAATATGCTGTAAACGTCAAGCACAGATTATTAAGTCTCGAAATAAGTCTCCAGTTCCTGTTTCTTGGTTAGACATTTTACATATGGTTTAATTTGTCCTCATATTCCTGATTTCTATTCTAGGCTCTTAATATGAATTTATGTCTTGTTTGTGTACCTTCCCAAAGTATAGCTGTGATCTATTCGTGCTCTATCAGTTGATTTTTATAGAAGTCTGCTTCCTTCCAATATGCACTTGAAACTTCTGCTGCTGTATTGAGTTTGCACAGATATACTATTTCCTCATCCTAGGGAATCTGCATTGTTCTGTAAGAAATGGTAACAAAGAAAGAGGGAAATTAAACTCTCCAAATTTTAAAATCACTCCCTGAGCAGAGTAGAAATGGGAGTAGCATCATTATACTTTGCCTAGAACTAACTAAATTTAATACCTGTTTGTCCCAGATTGGTACTTTGATGGTAATTTGGTATTTTGTCTGAATTTTTCAAAGCCAGCTAGTGTGCAGGTCATGTACAATGAGCTATCTACCCTGAACAATTGCATATTTTTTGAAGTAATATTATGGATTTGTAAGATATCAGACTGAGATTAATTAATAAATATTAGGTGAGGTTAACGTCTACATTTTGAAATAGATATGACTACTCAGCTCTTCTCTTCCTAAGACTCATCCAATCATATCAATTTAGAAATCTTCTTATCAGACAGCAGACAATCTACCATGCTCCCTTTAATCTGTGATCCTTACAAAACCTCAAATTATAGATGGCTAGTTTTGGAATAATTCATTTTTGTTCTCTGGATAGTTTCTTCCTTGAATAGTGAAAATGTAAAACAGCTTGTAAATATAAAGTAACAGTTTGAAAATGTAAAACAGCACTTGAATTAATTTTTAAAAGTTGAGATTAAAGAATTACACTTTCAAATTTAACATTAGCATCCTAGACCAATTAACCAAATTAAAAGGGGTATGCAAAAACTACAACTAACTGAAACACAGTTGATTAATGCCTAGGAACATCTAAAATTTTAAATGTCTCTGTAGAGAGCAAAACAGAATATTGTTGAGACACTTACACAATATTGAGATTGTGTAATAATCTGTACAATCATGAATTGATAAGTAGATTCTCTCATTGAAATATTTCAAGCAGAATCAGAAATGGAAAGATGAAAAAGTAGTCAATGACCCTTCCATGCTTAAAAATAATGACTGAAGTGAGGAAATTCCCTAGATTTCAGATAATATTTAAGGAGTGTAGAGAACTGGGACTTAGTTTTTCAGCAGAAATGTGAGCAAATATGACAGTTTCAAAACAGAACATTGGACTTCTTTATACTGAAATATTTTTATAAAACCCCTAGAAACCTAGATCTTTTCCTGTGAAGCTTTTTTTTGATTCATGAAGTTTATTGGTATATTTTAGGTATACAGTATGATGACATTCATCATTGGGAATTTGTACCTTTACATGATATATTTTGGTTCTTATTTTTTCCCCATTCCCCTGCCCTCCCTTCAACTCCTCCACCCCTCCCTATTCACAAAGACTGTTTCTATCTTTTCCTTTTCTCATATTTATTCCTTTCCTTTCTTTCCTTTCCCCTAACCCTTCCACTTCTCCTTCCCCTTTGGACATTTTCTTCCTATTTCACATTATCTATTATACATTTTAATCCTTATTTACACTTTCAGTTTCTCACAACAGAGAAACTATGTGGTATTTACACATGTGTGTCCTGTTTATTTCACCTAAGAGTATGGCCTCCAGGTGCATCCTGTGTAAAGCTTTTTATCACTATCCACGTAACACTGAAGTGCAGTTTTAAGGAGATTACATGTTTAACCCTAATCCCTACAATTCATCTAACAGCTTGCATTTATAAAGTGTGATCAAAAACTGTGGTGAATGCTTAAATTATAAAAGACACATGGCTACCAATCTCTCCCAAAATACTCTCCCTTACTTCAACCGCACTCATCCCATCACTCTTGCCAATTTCTGAAGCAATTCTGGAAGTCTTCTTTGTGAATACTTTTGTCACATCCTCATGGCTGTGTCCATGTCCTGAACTGATTCAAAACATTAACCTTTCATAGTCATTCTGATTTAGGGGAAGAGCTAGAAATCGCATGGTCCTGGAGATGGTGAATAAGAAGAATGAGGACAAACTGAAATGATTTTAGGAGCCTGCCTTTCCATTGGATGGCACCCAGCAGTAGCATTCACTGCATTTTTTTTTATCACACCTCTTAAAGAAGCTCATGCAAGAGGACTCCAGAACTGCTACAGAGAGTGGCAAGAATGATGGAATACATATGTTTGGAGCAAAGCAGAGCATTTTGAGGGGGATTAGTGACTATGTGTCTTTTACTGTAAAATTTTTTAGATGTAAACATTTACCATCAATCACCCCTTACATCAAAAACTGAACATGTAACTGACATGATTCATTTTTTAAACTCTAATAATGAACATGAGATAGGCATCATTTCCTTCTTCTACAAATGAGTACAATGATTTTTGCTAACTTTTGCAAGGTCATATAGCTCTTACACTATGCGAATAGTGCTCAGATTTGTATTTGCTATCTCCAAGATATTGAGCACAGATTTGCTCAAATTCATACTCAAATGAATCGCTCACCTTCTCAATTTGAACTTATAAACAGAGCTACATCTTTATGTGAATGATTAATACAGTTTTTTAAAATAGAAGCTATTGCTAGGGATTTAGCTCAGTGGTTCTGCTGTCTAGTTCGCAAGCACAAGGACCTGAGTTCGATCCTTAGTACCAAAAAAAAAAAAAAAAAGAAAAGAAAGAATACATTTAAAAATAAATAAATAAAATAGAAGCTTTTAAGGGGAAATGAGCACAATATAATGGCTAAAACAATACCACATGCAACTAAATAATATTTTCATATAATGAACCAATAAATATGTAGTTAATCAATATAATATGATCTAGTTCTTATATTGGCATTTCTACTTATGCTGGTATTATTCTGGTTAGCAAGTCAAGCTATTTTCAAAATAAACATGGTCTGCCTCATGAAGTAAGAAAATTCTATCAGTATTAAAGTTACCTCCTTGCTCTTCCTAAAGGATTCCCAATTCTGAAAATATCTTTGCAAAATGGTGCATTAGGTTTCCAAGTAAGATAAGATAAGCCATCATGGACTCTCTCAGGTGGTGAGGAATACCCTGGGTTTAAATCTACCATTTTCCCCCATTTAACTGTGTGACCATGTTAAGACTCCTAATCAGTGAGCTTCAGTTTTCTCATCTGAAACAGGGAACGTTCACATCTGTGTTTGGTGGTTGTTACAAGGACTAGATAAAATAGTAGGAGTAAATGTTCCAAACCTGGTATCTCCACAGAGAAGCCACCCCCAAATATAACTTCATTCTGAGCACTGTTATCCAGCTCAGAATCCTACGACTTCAAGGCTAATGTTTACCACTGTGTTCTTTAGAAGCCACAATGACAATTACCATAACAACAAGCTGAATATTATTCATCCGCTCATTTCTTTTCCCTTATTTAGGTCCATTTCCAAATACTCTGCGACAAGTGGAGGTGGAGGTCATAAGTAGTGATGTGTGTAATCGGGTGTATGTATACGGTGGTGCTGTGTCATCAGGAATGATATGCGCTGGATTCCTGACAGGAGAACGAGACGCCTGTGAGGTACATAGATTCAAAACCACAAAAGTGACTGCTGAGTAGGAATATCTTGTTGGCCATAGGCCAGTGTCTCTTCATAGAATTCCATGAAACTCACTTGCAGAGAAAGGGAAGTGCAAAAGGCAGGTAGAGAAGAGTCATAAGACATACTCTTCATTTAATACCTTAAGGAACAGAACAGTCTAAAATATAGCCATCAGTTATGAATTAGAACCCTGATTAAATTAATGGAAATGGATCATAGAAACCAAGCTAGCAAGCCATGCAATCAATGATTCAAGGCACAGTCATAACCAAAGTTTGAGTGTTAAATCCCTCCTAATCCCACCATGAGATGTGATCTGCAGATATCCATGTGGCCATACAGCTTAGCCTCACTAGTACCTAAACATTTCACGTGAAGAAAAGTCTTGTTAGATAGAATTATACTATTTGAAACACGTAATTAAAAAGTACAAATTTGTATATACTTATTTCTACTAAAGTGTTATCTCACAGACCTTCTCTAGAAAGAAATTAAATAAATAGTATTTTCTCCTGTGATGCAAAACTTTAATTTTAAGCAGTAAACTTAAGGACAATACCAGTTCTGAAGTCTGGCTATTTAGAGTACTAAAATAACATAACTCAAATACTAAAGACTTCACTATAGCATTTAAAACTGGGTACAAGAAGTTAGCATTGCCTTAAAGAAGTTTGAGAATTTGACACGTTTGTGCACTTTCCTTACACAAAAGGGGCCCACTATTGATCTGCCATTGGTTGACATACAATGAAAAAAAAGTCATTCACTTATTCATTCAAATATTTTATCAACTGCAAGGTTCATAAGTGTCAGATTCTGAAGGAAACTTAAACATCTAAGAAACACAGTCCACTATGAATTTATAATCTAATTGGCATATAAGAAACTAAAACAAAAGAAGGAAAGATGAGGACTTAGCTGCATTTCTGGAATACAGATATCCTTCCATTCACCTTACTTCTTGAGAAGAAAGAGAAACTGTGAGTGGCCTGCAATACAACTGGATCACTGACCTAGGATCAGCTGACCTGCCTCCCTTGGTTAACACTCCCTTACTTCCTTTCACCATTAGCACAGGAAAACAAGGAGGACATGAATTAGGATGTGGGACTAAGGCAAAGAGCTCAGGAGCAACGCTAGATCAGGGTTTTCACACTCTGCACCAAATACCGTAGGGGACTAGGAAGAATTCGAACAGGATCATTTCTCCTATTTTAGAACTTGCAATGGGCTATCACATGATACTTCTTTTGGATTAAATAAGTCCATTGCCAAAAGATAAATTTAAAATCCTTTGTCTAAACCTTGGGCTGACTATAACAAAGAAGTCTTCATGATTTAGATACTTTAAATTTATCCACCAGGGCTAAGGATTCCTCCACCTTTGGGAGCAAAAATACTTTGAGTATACATATGCTTCAATGTCCTGGACATCTTTCCATCAATTAGTGTGACCAGAATGATGTCAGATTCTAATTCAAAGCAACAGATTATTTCCAGCTAACTGAATTAGGAGACACTTCATGGAGGAGGTGACATTTGACTCTTGAAGTCATCATCTATATATGAATTGGCTGCCTGGATTTAAGTTCAGTTTGGGGTCTCTGTTTTAGCCAGAGAAAAACTAAAAATTTTACAAAGGTAAAACTAAAACCATTGTCATTCCCATGTCTTTCCCACTGAAGACATTAATAAGGACTACATAATAAACTCAATGATCATATTAGTACTAATTTTAAATAAAATAAAATTTTATTAGACCTGGAAATGATTAATTTGCTAGACCTGCTGATGCTTATTAACTCTCATTTCTGACCTATTTCATTCATCACATGAACCATATTTTTTTCTTCAGGGTGATTCTGGAGGACCTCTGGTCATTGTACAAGATCAAAACATCTGGTATCTTATTGGAATAGTAAGCTGGGGAATAGGCTGTGGAAAAGAAAACAAGCCTGGACTTTATACCAAAGTGACTCATTATCGGGACTGGATTAAATCTAAAACTAACATTTAATGCAACAACTACCTCTATATCCACACTGTAAATGCCAGGTATAGTCTCTGGGATATTATGTTTAGCATGTGTGGCCATGTGTATTGTCCTAAAGTTCAAGCAGAGGAGTGTAGTCTGACAACCTTCCCCTTGAATGTGAAGAAGGCAGTCTTTCTTTCATATCACTTCCAGTGTTTTATCTGACCATGAGCACAGAAGACACTGCCACTACTGCAGCATCTCTGATTACCTCCTTGTTCACTGTTCTGGTCCTACACATACTATTTATTTTAGTGTAATCTGCCACCTTAATCAAAAAAAGTATCAACTAGCTGGCCATTTTCTACTTATTCCTGACTGAGTATGCCTCTCTGCCATGGTAGCTCCACAGTTTTTACTTTCTCCATCAAATAACTCTCATCATGAAGTTGTTGCTCTACTGAATAATTATTTTGGGCCAGTGATAACACAAATGATGGAGGGAGCACCACACAGAAAACTGGATGCAAAAGATGTCATGATTATAAGTCCACTCTCTTTCCCTTGGATGTCCATTTAACCTCTCTTTGAAACTTAAAAATAGTTGATATTTATATTTGTACTCAATGTAAAATCACCTTTCAGTATTAAAAAAAAGCCTAAAGGCAAAGTTGCTTAGCCTTGTTATTAATTTGAAATGTGAAGAGGCAAGAATTCAATGAGGAGTTACTTTTAGCTCCATGTCTAAAAATGAAAGAAGTCCCAATCCCTATGTACATTTACTTTTCACTTGTACTTTTCTTATCTCTTAATGCATTTTCTTTAAATAGTTTTCTTTTTAATGAGCTTCAGAAGAGTTGAGGGACCTGCAGAATAAGAAGTCAATATAAATTAGATATTCATACACAACTTACAAGAGAAGTCAAAATAAATTTAGAACATCATGAACAATTTGATATAAGATTGTGACAAAGACTTTATTGTATAATATTTAAATTTATTGTTAAAAATGGTAGGCATTGTTTGCAGAATGCTATTTATAAAAAATATTAACTGAGCTAAGAAAGTATCTTGGAATAGCTCAATTTTATGATAAAAATGATCATTTTCATATGTATTTGTGTGTTTTTACTGCTATACATGACTGTAGACCAGTATTAAACAAAACTCAAACTTATTCTGTGCATCTAAATTTCCCTTCTTTTACAATTTAATTAGTAAGTATTGGGCTAAATTTTTCTTAGCACAATAAATGAGAGTCTCTCTTACCCTACCTAATATTATATTGTATATATTAACATTTATTTATGGCAAAAAGTCCTAACTTACTCTCTCTGAATCATTACCACAATGTAGGGGTTCTCAACCTTTTTGCTATTGATATTTTGTCAAAGATAGGTCTTTGCTGCAGAGAAGACCACTGCTTTCAATATTCCTTACTGCTACAAACTAGATGCCTCTAGTACACCAACAAGTTGTAACAAACCAAAATAACTCCAGACACTGCCAAATTTCCCCTGGGGAGCAAGAGTACCTTCAGTTAAGCACCGCTATGATGGGGATAACTGGAGAAAAACAGTCATTGTTAAAAATTATGCATCCACGATCCTGTGGACACCAGCACCTCTTGTTCAGAACCCCCATCCCACAGATTCCAGTGTCCCTGGAGCTCGCTGCACAGGCCACATGGTATCTGAATCTGCACTGCAGAGGTGCCAAGGGGCCGTAAAGGCCACAGTTATGAGCCCTAGAAGATAGAGCAGAAGGGAGAGGGCCTCTCTGAGGCTTCTCCATGAAAAATGAAGCCCACTGGGAAAATGAAGAAAATCTCTGCAATAAAGGCACACTGGACCACCATGGTTGGTAAGTGGGTGGTATCAACACCTCCCATAGAAACCTGGGCTCAATTTGGGGGAAGGACAGCTGGATCCTGCAGTAGAACCTTGCAGAGTTCAATCCTGCAGGAGGTCAGGAACTTCAACTTGGGCATTGCAGCCAGAAATCAGCCTGAATGTCAGTGAACTACAGCTGGCTTTCTGAGGCTGATTGTCTTAGATCTACACACTCTTGCCCAGGTTGTCTACCAGGACAAAAGAGACGTACCCTGAGGGAGACCTTTTTATGTATTTTTTTCTTTTTTTTTTTTTTCTCTCTCTCTCCCTTCTTGGTCTGGATTTCTCTCCCTCTTTGTTCCTGTTCCTGTCCTACTTCAGATTGTTTTTCTCTCTCTTCCCTTCTCTCAACTGTCACTATTCTTATAGGAAAGTGAATACAGTTTCTACCTTCCCTATGGCTGTTAGTTTATTCTGTTCTTGTCTATGTTCCTTCACTCTGTCTTTTCCTCTTGTCTTCAACAGTCTCCCAAAATTTGAGTGATCTTCCTGCATCCTCTAGCCTCACTTCTAACCTTTTCCTCTCCTTCTATATGGCTAACGCTCCCTCCCCAACTCCTTCTAAAGCCTTATCCCAAAGGGTAAATTTGCTATATGGAAAGGTTTATTTACTGCAAACACATTTTGGGGTGGTCCTCAATTTTTATTTAGCTCACACCCTTAAAGGTTACAGATTAATTGCTACCACAAATTGTCAATTTCTACACTGTGTTTGATGCTATTGTTGATGCTGATTGTAGCAACTGGGCTAAGGTGTAGTGATTGATCTAATCAGTTGTCCTCCCTGGTATACTGAAAACAAGATTGCCTAAGAGTCATTAGAGACTCAAAGCCTAAAGACCAGCTATACCTGGAAGACACCTCTGAGAAGCAATCATTCCATAACGGTTCTAAATACAAGCAATAAAGATACTCACAATAAGTAATATTGAAGTATAAGCCCAGGAATTAAGCCAAAAAATAGCACCAACAAGAAAAACAGAAATGAGAAGACACCTAAACAGGCACAAACACAGACTTCCAGCTCACTACAGGGAAATTCTGGGGGGCAATAAAGTGGAAATATCTGATAATCAACCACCTGGACACCCTGAACTGATAGCACAGGAAATAACAAAACAGATGAACAAGGCTCCAGAAAAATTCAAAACATAAATAATTTCCCAGATAACTACAGAGATGGTGAGCAGAAGGAAAGACATGATTAGAGACTCTAGAACAGAAACAGATTAAAAAAATAGATGACCTCAGGACCATGATGAAAGCCATGAATGCCCAACATAGGAAAGAAATGTAATCCGTGAAACACATTCAAACAGATATCCAGGAGATTAAAACCTCCAATGAAAGTATTTGCAGCAGAATTAGCCAATGTGAAGATAGAATATCAGATATAGAAGACAGGATTGTGGTTAGTGACCATGAAGAAAGAAATTTCTTAAAAATAGTAAGGGACCATGAGAAATCCATCCAGCAGCTGGTAGATAATGCAAAGAATAACATAGGACTGATAGGAGTCTGCAAAAAAACAGGAGAAAGTGCAAATGACATTAAAAAAAACCCTGTTTACAGAATTAATGAAAGAAAACTTCCCAAACAGAGCAAGGAATTTGACATACAGATAAGGCATACAGGACTCCAAATATCAATGATCAAAAAAATTTACACCTAGACATATAATAGTCAAGATTCCAGAAATGAACAGAAGGACAAAATCCTACAAGCAGCTGGGGAAAAAAGAAAAAAATCACATTCAAAAAAAGCCCATCAGAATCACAGCAGACTTTTCAAGACAAACCCTCAAGTCAAGGAGAGCCTGGAGTGATGTATTTCAAGCCTGAAAAGAAAATAAACTCCAACCTAGAGCGTTGTATCCTGCAAAATTATCTTTCAAAATCGATGGGGAAATTAGATTCTTCCAGGACAAAGAACACCTGAGAAACTTCATGAATATCAAACCAGCACTCCAAACAATTCTAAACAATATCCTAGAAAAGAACAATAAGGGTCACAACTCCATGAGGCCCAACAGAGTGGAGCCATCAGGCAAGGCAAGAAATTAAAGGGAAAGTGGTAAAAATGAAAAATAAAAGAGCCAACAACAGTAAAATATTATGACAAGGATGAGTCAAAATCTATCAATTATAACCATCAATGTTAATGGCCTCAACTCACGAATCAAAAGAAATAGACTGGCAGAATGGATAAATAAGCAAAATCCAACAATATGCTGTATAAAAGAAATTACTTACTTCAAAAAGAAATTCATAGACTGAAAGTAAAAGGATGGAAAACAACTATCCATCTGACAGGAACCCAGAAAAAAGCAAGGGTAGATATTTTATTTGCAGATTAGGTAGATTTCAAACCAAAGCTACTTAAGAGGGACAAAGAAGGTCACTACATCCTTGTAAAGGGAAAAATCCAAGAAGAAGAGATGACAATCATAAATATATATGAACCAAATACTAGTGCTCCCAACTATAGGAAAGAAATATTAATGGACAAGAAAAACCAAATAAGCACTAATACAATTGGAGTGGGGCCCTTGATACTACACTGTCACAAACAGACAGATCATCTAGACAGAAAATCAACAATGAAATTATAGAACTGAACCAAACTTTTGAAAAAATGGACTTAATAGATGTCTAGAGAGTGTTCCACCCCACAAATTCAGAATATACATTCTTTTTGGATGCACACAAGTCATTCTCCAAAATAGATCACATGCTAGCTCATACGATATGATTAAGTAAATGCAAAAGAATTGAAGTTATCCCCTGTATATTATCAGACCATAGTGTAATAAAATTGGAGATCAATAGCATAAGAAACTGCAAGAACCCACAAACACATGGAAATTGAATAAAACCTTCCTGAACAACCAATAGTTCACAGAGGAAATTAAAGAAGAATTAGACAGTTTCTACAATTAAATGATAATGCCAGTACAACACACAGGAATCTATGGGACACAATGAAAGCAGTTCTATGAGGGAAATGCATAGCAGTGAATGCCCATACTACGAAAACAGAACTCAAATAGACAACCTAATGCTGAACCTTAAGCTCCTAGAAGAAGAAGAGCAAGACAAACCCAAAGCTCATGTAATGAAGAAATTATAAAGATCAGAGCAGAAATCAATGCAATGGAGACTAAGAGAACGATACCAAAAATCAACAAATTGAAGAGTTGTGTTTTTTGAAAGAATAAATAAAATTGATAAACCCTTAGCCGACCTTACAGAAAAGGAAAGAAAGGCTCAAATCCTGCAATTAGGAATGAAAAAGGTGAAGTTACAATAGATGCAGCAAAATCCAGAGGATCATCAACACCTACTTTGAGAATCTGTACTCTAATAAAATGGAAAACACAGAAGAAATGGACAGATTCCTAGATACATATGAATTACCAAAGTTGAACAAAGAAGCTATAACATTTCTAAACACTCCAATTACAATCAGTGAAATTGAAAATGTAATTAAAAATTTACCAACAAAGAAAAGCCCAGTTCCTAATGGCTTCACTGCTGAAATCTACAAGACATTTAGAGAAGAACTACTACCACTTCTGTTTAAACTCTTCAATGAAATTGAAAGGGAAGCAATACTTCCAAATTCCTTCCTGGAAGCAAGTGTTACTTTGATTCCAAAACCAGGGAAAAACCCAACCAAAAAAGAAAACCATAGGCCAATCTCCCTAATGAACATAGATGCAAAAATCCTCAACAAGTTACTGGCAATCAGAATACAGAGGGTCATCAAGAAGATCATATACCCTGACCAAGTTGGATTTATTCCAGGGATGCAAGGATGGTTCAACATATGTAAACCACTAAATGTAATACACTATATTAACAGAGCCAAGGACAAAAACTATATGATCATCTCAACAGATGCAGAAAAAGCATTCCACAAAATCCAACGCCCATTCATGATAAAAATGCTACAGAAAATTGGAGTAGAAGGTCTTTATCTCTTCCTGATTAAGGTTATCTATGAAAAACCAACAGCCAACATCATACTAAATGATCAAAATCTGAAAACTTTCATGCTAAAATCAGGAACAAGACAAGGATGTCCACTATCCTCACTTCTGTTCAATATAGTTCTGGAAACATTAGCCACAGCAATTAGAAAAGAGAAAGAAATAAAAGGAATAAAGATAGGAAAGGAAGAAGTTAAACTGTCATTATTTGCTGACCATATGATACTCTACATAGAAGACCCAAAAAACTCCACCAAAAGACTTCTAGACTTAATTGCCAGATTCAGTAGAGTAGCTGAATACAAGGTCAGCCCTCAAAAATCAATA